AGGGGTTCTTTTATGAAAGATATGAAAGAAACTCTGAAAGTAACAAGGGGGACCATTTACCTAAAACACAGAGCTTAGCTACTCTTCCCCTCCCCTGAGATAACTGGTTATTGGAACCCCCTGGCCACTTGTTCCCCTCCCTACTCCTGCAAGCACCAATCCTTGGTGCTGCAATTGAAAAAACTTCCACATGCTTTCTTTTCTTTAAAGGCAGAGAATGACTAAGTATGGGGAGCAAACTTCTGTCCCCTTGGTTTATGTGTTTGTCTTTCTCTGCCATCTTAGGTTGATATGAGCCATGTGTCAACATGCTTAGCCCCCTTCTGTAACTGCCTCCCTTTAGTTCAATGGACACAGTGCCCAAGGCAAAAACTACCTTCTGATTTGGATTGGGGCTGGATTCCAATCAACTAGTGATAGGCAAAGACTATTGTTCTTCCCCCGTCATAAGAGCCAGGCCAAGCCTGTGGGGGCCTTGGGTCATGCAGGATGGGATCTGTGGTTAGAGAATAGGGAGGAGCTGTGGACCTGTGTCCTGCCTCCACTGCCTACATCTATCTTCTCTCTTCCCCATCTTGCTTTTGTAGTTCCAGAAAACTATTAGTGTCCAGCAAAGGGGGTACCCAGTTCTTTTCCTGTTGGCTTTGCTGTTCCCTAGCCTCCTTTTTGTGTTTTTATAACTGTTACCAGTTTAGCCACTGTTTAAATTGTATATATTGTTCTGCGGTACCTGGCCTATCTCTTCAGTGAGCCATGCCCGCCCTTGTGTTGTAGTGAGAAGCTGTTGTCACGACTAACCTTCTGTCTCTGGAATTGTTTGTTTCAAATAAAGAGTTAAAATTGTCTTTTGCCTTTTCCTGGGGAGGAAGAACAGTGTTTGGAGGGGTGAGGGATATGGAGGAGCCATGCCAGACAATGTCAAATCTTTTAGAGCGTGAAGAAGTGAAGTGCCCCACCTCAGTTTGAGAATCATTTTTACCTACCTCACTGAATGAATCCACTTGGAATACGGTCCTTTTCATAACAAGTTTCCAGACACGTAAGGGAAAAAATTATTCTACAGCTAGCTATTAAGGACCCATTATGTTTAAGGACTTAGATTCAGAGAAGACAAAGATTAATTAGACCAGGATCCTATCCCCAGCAGGTTCCCAGGCTAGAGGAGATAGGAACAGATCAGTGCATAGTTAGTTGTAAGAGGCAGAAAGAAATATCTAGTGCTGTGGGAGAGTAGAAGAATAAGGAACTCACTCTAAGGTTATAGGGAGGTTAGCCTGGCCTGGTAGCTCAGTTGGTTATAGTGTCATTCTGATACACCAAGTTTGTGGGTTTGTGGGCACATACAAGATTCAACCAATGAATGCATAAATAAATGGAACAATACATCAATGTTTCTCAAAATTAATAAATAATTTAAGGAAGAGATTATAGGGAGTTTACATGAGAGTTTTCTGAACAAGGTGACATTTGACCTGGGCCTCAGTAAGTGGGAGGAGTTGGGGACCAGCACAAGCAAAGGCTGAGGTTTTTCCAGTCAGGGAATTCCAGGATCAGATCTGTTGTTTTAGGGAGAAGATCCCTAGAACAATATGGAGGACAGGGGTGGTACCAGGTCTGAAGGCCAGGAGATCAATAAAAAGAGTATGGCTGAGAAGTTAACATGGGTATAAGCATAACCAATGGACACAGACAGTAGGGGTGAGGGCATGTGCTGGGGGGTGGGAGTGGCTGGGAGGTCATTGGGGAAAAATGAGGCATATGTAATACTTTAAACAATAAAGAATTTAAATTTTTTTTAAAAAGCCATCCTGAAAAAAAAAGTTATGTGGGCCTCAGTGGGAGCTGTGGGGATACAGAAGGAAAAGAGAAAATGGATTCAGATGAATTTAAGACATGAAGGTCAAGTCTGCAGGATCTGGGGGAGAGGAAAGAATTGTACATGAAGCCCAGACTAATGTAGTTCAGTTGGTTGGTTGTTGTCTTGTGCATCAGAAGGTTGCCGGTTTGTTTTCTGGTCAGGGCACGTGCTTGGGTTTTGGGCTGTATCCCCTGTAAGGGGTGTGCAGGAGGAAGACAATTGATGTTTTTCTCTCACATTGATGGTTTTCTCAAATAAAAAACATTTTTTTAAAAAAGAATTGTACATGAAGTTAAAAAAAAACCCAAAAAACAAACAAAAAAGAATTGTACATGAAGCATGAATCCCATGTTTTGATTGGGAGATGCCTTTACCCAAGTTGGAAAATGGATGGGGTTTTGTTTTTATGTTTGTTTTTGGTCTGAGGAGTGGGGGATAGGAAGAGGTTGGTAACAAGTTGAGGTTTTGATCATGTTGGGTTCAAGACTATATAAACATCCACATGGTGGGCAGTGTAACATGGCATAGCAGAAAGAACACTCAAGCTTGAATTTTTAATCATATCTCTGCCACTGAAACTTGGGCAAGCCTACCTCTTTGAGCCTTACCTAAAAATGCATTTTTACTCTGCCCTGACTTACTCGGGGAACTGTTGTGAATGTCAGTGAGAAAATGCATGTGAAAAGTAATATTTATGCTAGATGTTACCATTTAAAAAATATTTTTATTGATTTCAGAGAGGAAGGGAGAGAGATGGAAACATCCATGATGAGAGAGAATCATGGGTCAGCTGCCTCCTGGACACCCCATACTGGGGATCAAGCCCACAACCCAGGCATGTGCCCATGACCAGGGACCCTTCAGCCTGCAGGCTGACACTCTATTCACTGAGCCAAACTGGCTAGGGCTAGATGTTGCCATTTATACTAGGCAGTTGGAAATGTGGGTCTGAGGCATAGAAGAGAGACTGTCTATTTTTTCTAGCTTTATTGAAATACAGTTGGTATATAACACTGCCTAAGTTTATAGTGTACACTATGTTGATTTGATACACAAATGTTGCGAAATGATGGCCACCATAGTGTTAGCTAATACCCCCGTCCTATCATATAATTACCATTTCTTCTTTTGTGGTGAGAACATTTAAGATCTATTCTCTTAGAAACTTTCAAGTATATCACACAGTATTGTTAACTATAGTCACCATGCTGTATATTAGAGCTCCAGAACTTATTCATCTTATAAGCAAAAGTTTGTACCCTTTGACCAACATCTCCCGATTTAATTTATATCCCTTCCAGCCCCTGGAAACCACGATTTTACTTTCTGTTTCTCTGAGTTCAGCTTTTTTTTTTTTTTTAAAAAAGATACATTCTTATTGATTTCAAAGAGGAAGGGAGAGGGAGAGGAGAGATAGAAACATCAATGATGAAAGAATCATTGATCGTCTGCCTCCTGCAAGCAGCCTACTGGGGATCGAGCCCATAACCCCAGCATGTGCCCTGACTGGGAATTGAATTGTGACCTCCTGGTTCATAGGTCGATGCTCAACCGCTGAGCTACATTGGCCAGACAAGTTCAGCTTCTCTAGACTCCACATATAAGTGAGATCACATAATATTTGTCTTTTTCTGTCTGACATTCACTTAGCATAAAGCATGAGGTGTCAATTAAGAAGTCATCTGCAAACAGCTCCTAGCTGAAGCTGTGGGAGAGGACAAGATCACTGAGGGGAGTAATAGAATGAAGAGAGAAGAGGACAAAAATGGTGCCTTGGAAAAATATCTCCAGTTAAGCAGAGAAAGGAACTGACAGGGAGAGACCAGAAAAGTGGGAGAAGCCCCAAATCTGCCAGATGCCAAAGGCAGAACTATCTGATGAAAAACTGTCTCATACCCCAGGCCAAGATGAAGTCTATTAAATTTGCCTTCTCCCTCTCCCATCCTCAACAGGGCTCAAAGTCATCTGGCTCTCCTACCTCTTTCCCCTGCTGGAACAGAGAAGTGTCTGATGTCATTTGTTCAACTAGATTTAGACTCTGTGCCCAGCCTTGTGCTGGTCACTAGGGATATAAAGATGACTAAGAAGCTGTAGTCTGCTCTTGACAAGTCCCTAGTCTGATAGGGAGGACCAGGCCTGGGACTAGGGCAGGGCAATCAAAGTACTTAAGGCGCAAAATATAAGGAGGCACTCACAGCTGGGACCGTGCGAGTACAGGATTGGCATTTGCACAACCCTGAGAGTGAATGCCTCCTGAAATGCTGCACCCTAGGTGCCTCAATTGCCTCACCCTAGTCCTGACCCTGGAGATGACTCACATGTCAATAGAATGACCAGGGCAGAATGTAATTGTACTTATTCTCTACCAGGAAAGCAAGACCACAGAGGTGACATGGGTGCTGGGTTTTCATCAAGAGTGAGCATAGCTTGTAAGTCAGAATAAAGGTGCAGGGATCAGTGTGCACAAAGGCATGGAGGTATGAGAACGTGGAGTGTCTTCAGGCAAGGGTGGTTGGGTTGCAGAGGAGGTGGAGAGGGTGCAGTAAAAAAGGTGAGCAGTGGTGAGAGGTGTTGCTGAGAAACTAGGGATCAGGTTGTGAAAGGCATTGAAGGCCATTCCAATCCCTGCTAGGGTGACTGACCATCTCAGTTTTCCCACGACTTTCCCAGTTTTAGTGCTGAAAGTCCAGCATCCTGGGAAAGCCCTTGATCCTGGCAAACAAGAGCAGTCATGTTTTATCCTCAAAGCGATGAAAAGCCACAAAGAATTGGCAGGCTATGCTTCATGTTTCAAGTGACTCTAACATGTCTGTGTAAGGTGGGGGAGAACTGGGTGCTGAAGAAATACAGGGGGGCAGTGGAACAGAAATGTTCCGTGCTTTGCCTTCGGTGTCTGGCAGACATGAGTTCTAGTTCCCTGGCTTGGCCAATTCTTTCCTAGCCATGTGGCCTGGGCAAGTTACTTAACCTATGTGGACCTCAGTGTCCTACTCTTTATTTTTAAAAAAATATTTTTATTGATTTCAGAGAGGAAGGGAGAGGTAGAAAGA